CTTTCTCAAAGAATGAAATAAGATTTATTTGGCATGATATGTTTTTGACAAACCTATGTTGGCTTCTAGTTTGCTTGCTTCTAGGTGTTCTGTTACTTGATCATTTTTTCAGGATCTTTCCAAGTATTGATGTCAGATTGATTGGTTTCTAGTTTCCTGGATCTGTTTTCTTCCCCCTTTTTGAAAATCAGAGCCACAGGTGTTCTCTTACCATTTTAATTTGAATTCCTAGTCTGTCTTTTATGGTTCTGTTTTTCATAGGTTGGGCCATTTTTTCTTTTTGTGTGAAGACAGATGCAAGGAAAGAATTAAGCAGCTCTGCTTTCTCCCTGCTGCCTGTCACTTCCTTGCCATTATTGGCCCAATTGTTTCTTTGACTTTTTCCTTATTTTATGTGTTGAAAGAAACTTTTTAAAATTATTTTTTACATTTGTTGCAAGTCTTAGTTCATTCTGAGCCTTGGCTTTCCTGACTTCATCTTTTCAGATTCGGGCTATTTGCTGGTATATTGGTATTCTGCCTTAGCTGTGTGTCCCTCTTTTCATTTTTTATAATCCTTTTTGTCGTTCAGTTTATCAGAGAGTTCTTTGTGCAACCATGCTGGTTTCTTTTTGGATTTCTTATTTTTCTTTCTCAGTGGTATTGTACTGGACTGAGTTTTTATAAACATATTTTTCAGAGTTTCCCAAGCGTCTTAAGTTATTTTCCCATTTAAGATTTTCATCCATGGAAACCTTCCTAAACTCTCTCTTAAGTTTGTTGAAATCAGCTCTTTTAAAGTTGGTTTGATTATGTTCTATTCCTTGTGTCTGCATTATGTTGAATTCTTAGATAACATGGTCACTGTCCTCCAAAGTTCCTGCTACCCCCTCTATTATTTCTCCTCTGTTAAATTAGGTCCAATATAGCTGTCTCTCTAGTTCCTTCCTCTACCTTTTGGATGACAACATTGTCAATTAGGTTGGTCAGGAACCTGTTTGATCTCCCACTTGATGTAGAGTTTGTCTCCCAGTTGATGTCAGGATAGTTAAAGTCCTCCATTACTACTGTGGTGTGTTTCCTACATAAATTAGCAAAACATTCATCTATATCTTCCGCTTGATTGAGTGACCTGTACAGGTAGCCCTCAATTTATGACAGTAATGGAGCCTGTCCATTCATGTCGGAAGTTGAGGACTACATTAAATGAAGCACCTAACTAATGACCTCTCCCTGCTTTCCCCAGTGCATTAGTTAAATGAATGTGCAGATTGTTAGGTGACTCATGGGTGGGAGAAACTGAGGAAGGTCTACTGTAGGCACAGGCACTCCTAGAAGGCCTCCTCCACCCTCTAAGATATCCCACGCTCTGCCTCCTGTCCCTTGGTTTCCCCAAAGCCATATGGGCCTCCTCCATGCTCCACCCCATCACCATTCGCTTGCTTACATTTTGCTTGCTTACGAGCTCAGAAGTCAGGGTAGAGAAGACCGCTCCCTCGCTGGGCTACGTGGCACAGTCAAGAAGAAGAATGTTGTGACCTAGGCTTCCTGAGTCATTAAAACACACGAGTAGTCCCAAAAACCTCTTTTATTGCAACAGCTGTGAATTACGTTCATTCACAGCTGAGTCCCAATTAGTTGCAAAAAGTCCTTTGGGAGAAGTCCTTCGGGATAATCACCAACCTTTATTTCCTTGATACGCTGCCAAAGACCTACTTGGCAAAGCCATACAGAGTCCAGAATTGAACAGAATTAACAATGTTGCTTTTCTGCAAAGGACCCACGTCCCTTTGCTCCTCTTTTAAGCCTTATAGGAGGGCCCAATCATCTCCAGGCCTTACTCCCGAGTCGTCCCTTTTGTTTTAACTGTTCTTGCCTTCTGGCAGCTCTGCGCATGCGCACACTAGGAACAGGCTCCTCCTGTTCCTTTGCCTCTCTGCTGTCCGACTCTGGTGGCTCCAGAGTCTGCAGATAACTCCCAGATGGCCCTGGCCCCATCTCTGCCTCCGACGCAGATCCCTCATCCGAGCCTTCCCCAGACTCCAGGACTGGCCCATGTTCCTGCCCAGCCTCCTCATTGTCCGACTCTGCTGCCAGCTCCGCAGGCTGCTGGCGGACCACAACAAAGAAATCCAGTCGTTTTTGCTTTCATTGCAATCCTTTCCTTACCAACCAGCATAAACTACAACAAATTCTTCTTAGTTCCACCAGTGCTAGTTTTATGCTAGTGACTCTAAGAAAAAATTGTGCCTATTTTGGTTCCTTGTAAGCTTTTCCTCCCCAACCAGTGTAAATTGATGGTGATTCACCCTGGCTGGGGAGGAAAGGATTGCCATAGAAGCAAAAGAGGTGGAATTTCTTCTTTGCTCTATCAGCATAAGACTAGCATAAAGCTACCGCTGGCGGCACTAAGAAGAAATTATGGCTATGCTGGCTGGAGAGGAAAGGCTTGCGAGGAATCCAAAATAGGCATGATTTCTTGTTAGTGCCACCAGGGTGGGGAGGATAGGCTTGCAAGGAACGAAAATAGGCACAATTTCTTCTTACCACCACAAGCATAAAACTAGCGCTGGCGGAGCTAAGACAAAATTGTCATAGTTTATGCTGGCTAGAGAAGAAAGGATTGCAACAGAAGCAAAAGTGATCGATTTCTTCTTTTTGATTGTGCCACCTGGCCCAGCGAGGGAGCAGCCTTCTCTGCCCTGATTTCCTGAGCTCATCAAAAGATAAATAAATGAATGGTGATGGAGTGGGGATGGGGAAGGAGTCCACGGAACCAGGTATGTTGCAAAGATGGCCCAATGCCTCTAAAGACCAGGCCAGGCAGGATGGAAGGGAAATAGGTGGGTAGGAGTGCTGCAGTGTCCCTGCGGTTGGTCATGAAGGCAAATGACAGTGGGGTGCTGCAGAATTTGTAACTTTGAAACAAATTCATATTTTGCTTTTGGGGAGGGGGGGGATATGTGTTGTAACTTTGAACGTTTGTTAAATGACCTGTCATATCTCGAGGATTACCTATGGCAATGTCATTCTTTTTTCTTTTATATTAACCCATGTGCATTCTAGCAGGCTTAAATAGTTTCTCTGAAAAATTCAGAATCCATCATTGTGTACGTTTTCTCTCTAAGCATTGTCATTCAGCAATGGCAAATCTTTTGCAGATTCCCAGGTGCGGTGAGGTAACCTAAAATTGGGCATTTTATGTTATATAATCTTACATAAATGCATTGATAAAACAACAGTCAGAACAATAAATAATAGGGAATATATACCCGGTTCCCTGGAATATATCTCCAGTATTTTACTGCACAAATATTCTAAAAATTGGAAATATCTAAAACAGTACACAGTTTATAGTAGATAATTGTATTAATATCATCCAATGGATAACAATTTGAACTGTATACTGTATGTGTATAACTTTGATGGGGCCTCAGATAAAGACTTTGTATTTATGTGCATTCCTCTTTATAGCTGGAGTGCTGGCCTATACATATGGCATATACACATTATATGTACAGGCATTCTCTTTTTATGTATATAAGTAAAAAGATAAAGGCATCCCTATGAATTTTACTTGCCGACTATAGGGGACAGTGCTCATCAAGGCCATTGAGCCACTGCTGGATGAAGATATTTGTTCATGTGGCCAGCATAACATCACAGAGCACTGTTACCTTCCCACCAAAGTGGTACCTATTTAACTACTGCATGCTTTCAAATTACTAGGAGCTGGGGTGAGGACAGGAGCTCACCACATCGTGTGGCACTTAAGTCTTGAACCTGGGCTGCCAGCTTTCCAGCAGATAAGCCCAGTGTCAACTCTGAATCAAACCTGACTGAAGCCATCTTTTGCTGCTTCATAGTTGCTTCATAGTTCCCACACACTCACCTTACACTCTAAGGGAGGGGGAGAGATAGACCGTCCGCAGACACAACAACGAGCCTTCCCATTGGAACCAAGGTTATCCCAACAGGTGGCAGTTGAAGGGGAGTAACTAAGGAACCTGCAGACTTCTTTAATTGGACAATGTGACCTGGGACAATTGGGGAGGGAAACAGTTACTCTTTTAATTATGCTATTAGCATGGGAAACTTCAAAGTTGGCTTTCACTAGCTGTGCCAATATGATGTATCCAATAAACATGTTCTTTGAGGGACCTGCCTGCCTCGGATTTCTGATTTCTTTGGATGCGTTACTTGGAACGCTGACACCCAGTGTCTTAACTGCTGAGCCACCATGCCACCCTTTTTATGTATATATGTGTGCATATATGTATGTATAATTTCCTGGGCAGCTAATTCTTTGCTCCATAGATTCTTGGCATTTCTCATATTGCTGCTGAAGTTTTCTTTAGCATGATATGTTTGGTATTTGGTTTGAAATGCCAACTATTTTCCATGAATATTGGTCCTCATTGCCTCTCTCCACACATATGGAGAACTATATCAACTGGTGCTTTCAACAGAAATTTATGAAGGGGGAGTATTTAAATCAAAATCTTTCTCATTTCAAACACACATTTACCTTTCATACCTCTTCCGCTTTGTCCTTTCATTCAAATTCCTTGTACTATATTCAACTTATATTCAAAATGTTGCACGTGATAGAATAATTATCAACAGAAGAGGCAGCCTCACTCCAAAAATAAAAGTGAACCAGTCAATGACAGGTAAGATGTCTATATCATATGACAATCGATTGAGCAGCTTTTAGGATTTTTTGATGGGGCCTCTTTCTCTTCCCCTGCCCCCCAGCATCTTTAAGTCATGAGATCCAGCAATTTGTTGACTCAGTTCCATATACCAACCGAGGAGGGTTGATATATGGAACAGTAGTTTATCTACTGTTATTAAATTCCTAAGCATTTTTGGTAGTTGGTAAGCACTACAAATTAGGCCAATAAAAAAAACACAGGATTCTTCAGTGTCTATGGTTTTGACCACAGCCTCTTGTACCGTGCAGCCATAATAGTGGCAGTGGTTTTCCTTCAGTACTTGTATTCTCTGTTGTCTACTAGGTTCCTGCACAATTATTTGAGAAACCTGTTTGCTGGAGCTTGGGAAGTACAAGACTTTTCACCTCTACCAGTGAATATGCCAGAAGCCACAGAGGCACAGGTGAGACTTCCTTTTTAAGCAAATATTTTCAGATTCTAGTCAAGCTCATCAAAGTCAAAGAGGAAATATTGGAAACATTATTTGTTAATGTTTTGTTTTGCTTGTCATGAAAATATTATCTGCTTATGTCTTCTTTGAGATTGCCAACTAATAAAAGGGAACGAACCTAAGGCAGAAAAATTATTATCAGTAAAGCCCTGGATTATTATCACTTTCATTGTCCCCGTTATGCATCACTGCATCCCCATAAATGCATCCCCATAATTAATACTGGTTAGGTTGCTACTCTGAAGCATTGACTTTTGCTGTGAACAATTTTTCCTGGACGTACTTCTGTGCAGGTGCAGCAGTGCGTGGAGCTGATCAGCAGGGCTAGGAAGCCACTCCTACTGCTAGGCAGTCAAGTGACCCTCCCTCCAATTCCAGCAAATAAGCTTAGGTAAGATATGCTGCTTGCCCTAGATTGAGATTTCTTTTATAATATTGATGTACTATTAGGCTACCATTGACCTGAGGCACAATATCCTTGTTCAATAGAATTAATCCATTGATGGGAAAGAGGAACTACAGGATCTGTGATGAGCATGTGTTCAGATGAATAGACAGAAGTGAGAAGAGATAACAAAGATATCTGAATTTTTTCCCCTCCTGCATATTCTTACAGAGAAGCTTTAGAAGAACTCGGGATTCCATGTTTCCTAGGAGGCATGGCCCGTGGCATGCTAGGAAAGAACAGTCCAATTCACATTCGTCAAAACCGGCGTGAGGCTCTCAAGGAGGCAGATCTGGTTATTCTGGCAGGTAGCTCAGCTGAGAGTTTTATACTGGTCTTTTGCTGAAGAGGACCTTCAGAAAACATTGGGCCAATCTTGGGGAATTGGGAGGTTAGCATATATTTTTGTTAGTGTATATGATGATTGTCTAACAATTGTTTTCTGTTTATATCTTCTTTTTTCCTTTTCAGGCACAGTCTGTGATTTTCGCCTGTCATATGGACGCATCTTGAGTAAGCACAGCAAAATCATTGCTGTTAACAGGAATCGGGAGCAACTGTTTAAAAATGCAGATTTTCACTGGACACCAAATATAGCCATAAAAGGTGAGGAGCTTGTTCAAGGCAACAGTAAGAGAGATGTGAGCAACATTTCTTAGGGATTTGGTATGGTGAGAAAAAAGGACAATAAAAAGATTATACTTAATGCATGCATTGTTATAATACCAGTGATCAGAGGAAGAGGCTCATTGGAAGAGGGTTCATACCATCTTCAATTATGTTTTACACAGGGGATGCTGCATTGTTCTTTGTGTGCTTAAACCAAAAGCTGAAAGGCTATTCATGTCCTCAGGATTGGGTAATGAGTCTGAAGAAGGCTGATCAGAGGAAGGAGAAAATAAACAGGTAATAATAAATGGTACTCTTTGTATGTGTCCATATGTAGCTCAAGGCTTGCAGATACTTCTTATTTGCTCTACCTTAAATACTTTGCTATATAGAAAGTATGGCTATCTACTGGTATGTCTCAAATCAGTTTGTGATCTCCAGAGAGAAGGCAGAAGAACCAACAGAACAGCATCTTAACCCACTGAAGCTCTTGCATCATGTAGATTACTTGCTTCCCGAAGACAGTCTACTAGTTGCAGATGGAGGTGATTTTGTAGCAAGTGCTGCCTATATTATAAAGCCAAGGGGACCTCTATCTTGGCTGGATCCAGGTATGAGCTAAAGCAGTAGTCTAGACGTAATTGTTTTTCATGGATGTAGAATGGGTTGATACTTCATACCACAGCCTTCCACTTTGTACCGTGTTTCCCCAAAAATAAGATTGGTTCTTATATTAATTTTTGCTCCAAAAGATGGATTAGGGCTTATTTTCTGGTTAGGTCTTATTTTGGGAAAAATACGGTACTAAATGCACCCATCTGGCTGACAATCTTAACTCAGGTTTATTTTGGGGGTAGGGCTTATATTACGAGCATCCTGAAAAATCATGCTAGGACTTATTTTCCAATTGGGTCTTATTTTCGGGGAAACGGGGTACTCAACTGCCTTTGAAACAGGAGAAATGTTCCATCCTAGAAAATATCCAGAAATATATTTTTGGTTTCCAAATGTGCATCCCACTCAGTAAAACCTCCCAACCCAAAGCAATGTTTATCCCCCAAGTAGTATCAGATGAAGTTTGGGCTCTTCATCTTTGCTATATTACCACATGGATCAAAGAAATAAATCACACAAAAGAGAGAAGAAACATTACACTAGAGTGTCAATAAATAATCAGTCCTTAAATTATTTTTAGCCTGAATAATAACATAACATAAACATAACATAACATTTAACATAAACTTTATTTAAACATATAACATAAACTTTATTCAACAATCTTAAACAATTCTACAATTCTAGCATTCTTATCTATATCTTTCATCGTATTTTTTTTACCCGTTCAGAAAGTATATTTCCTTAATTAGTAATTAATTTATGGCTTGATTAAATTGTGGGTAAAACAGGCTAGACTTTTAGTACAATGAATAAACTCCAGTATGCGTTTTGTCCTATTATAGAGACATGAATTAGTTTGTTGATTTATTTTAATCTATATGTATCCTTCCTTTCTGTGTTCTGTGTAACATACCAATCATGACAGATATCAACAAAGCTGAAAAACAGATACAGTATGTAGTAAACAATCATAAACAGATGAAATGCACTTCTTTTTAGAAAGCCAAGGAATTACTATTGGGGAATCAGTACACACAACCTGTGGAATTTCTTTAATCATGATTTCTTTGTTTCATCTCTTTGTAGGAGCTTTTGGAACTTTGGGAGTTGGGGGTGGATTTGCCTTAGGAGCCAAGCTCTGCAGGCCAGAATCAGAGGTTAGTATATTGTAGAGGGAAGCTTAAGTGTGGAAGATAAGTCATGGAAAAGCAGATAAGAGGCTAGGTCTGTTTTGCAGCATGTTTCTCTAGCTGCTAAGTCTGCCTTCTTTTTTTTAATTGTTAACAGGTGTGGATCTTATATGGAGATGGCTCACTTGGATTCAGCATCATGGAATTTGATACTTTTGTGCGACACAGGGTAACTATCAGCTTGCCCAGTTTTTATGAGGTCTAGGATGACTTGATGACTAGCTTGGCACGGTCAGCTGTGGGAAGCCTTCTCCCCACCACCAAGTCCACTCTGCCAACTTCCTGCTGCTGTCTCATTGCATGACACTCAACACTGGAAATCAGCTGTGGGGACAACTCACTGTGGGTGCTGGATGGAGAGCTGGGCAGGTGGCAAGTGAGCAGGCTGTTAGGGGGACAGTGATGGGCGGGACAGCGCCAATAAGGGAAGCGAATCAGCTTGTCACTGGCAGTGGATTGGCTCCAGCCCAAACACTGATTGAACAGTTTGGCTGTGGTGGCAACCAGGGCTTCCCATTTTGCGAAGTGGAGAGTGGTGTGGGAGGCAATGGCGTGGAGGCAAGGAGTGGGGTGTCAAAATGGGAAGCCCACGCCACTGTTCTGCAATTTTTTTTTTAAAAAAAACCATGTTGGTTAATATTTGAGGGTACATAGCTGGGTGGATGATTTCATGGTGTTTCTGATTATGTGCAGCGTGTTTTCATGATGTTTCTGGTTATGTGCCAAGTGCTCATTCCCCAAAGCTGGGTGGATGATTTCAGGGTGTTTGTCAGCTACCACCTCACGCTTGTGCTTTGCAACCATTCAGTATCAGCTGTCATGAACTCAAGAGGGCTAGATGGGAGGTGGGATGCTTTGAGGGAAACAAAACTTCACCATATCTCTCTGATATGGGCTTCAAGGACAACCGTCTGGGAACAGAATGCAGCTGCATACTAAACCTACTCCTGAAATGACCATTCTGAAAACATCTTGTTTGAATTTGATTGGACATGGGGGACCCAGTTAATGAGAAGCGACTAAGGGAGGAAAAAGTTAGACTTGGAGATTTTGGCACGCGAGTCTCAATGCATTACTATAATTCATTTGACTTCTAGTAGACTATAAGGTAAAGGTAAAGGTTCCCCTCGCACATATGTGCTATTCATCTCCGTTTCAAAGCCAAAGAGCCAGTGCTGTCCAAAGACGTCTCCATGGTCATGTGGCTGGCATGACTAAACGCCAAAGGTGCACGGAACACTGTTACCTTCCCACCAAAGGTGGTCCCTATTTTTCTACTTGTATTTTTATGTGCTTTTGAACTGCTAGGTTAGCAGAAGCTGGGACAAGTAACGGGAGCTCATCCTGTTACACGGCACTAGGGATTCGAACCACTGAACTGCCGACCTTTCAATCTACAAGCTCAGCATCATAGCCACTGAGCCACCGTGTCCCTCTAAATAAATTGAGTTAAGGATTGTTCTTACTTAAAGGTGCAAGCTGGGGCAGATCTGACAGCAGTTCTAGTCATATGCAGAGTGCTTTCATGGTGTTTCTAGTCATGTGTAGGGTGTTTTTCTGCCCAAAGCTAGGTGGATGATTTCATGATGTTTCTGGTCATGTGGAGAGTGCTTTCCCCCCAAAGCTGTTGGGTGATTTCATTGTGTGTCAACTGTCCCAACTTGATCATTTAGAAGAAAAAGACTGTCTGACTCATGGCTACTAAAGCCAAGTGGTTACAGTGTAACAAGCTGAATCTGGCGTTTCATGCCCAAAACATAGTTAATATTCCCCTTTGGGTCCCATCCCCCCATGGACATTGATAAGTATCCAATAATACTCAAACTAATTATTTTGGTAATAGTCCCTAGTTGCGCAACCTTGAGGGTATTGCATTCCATTGGGTGACCTTGGAACAGCCTGTGGCTCATAGGATAGCACAAAGACTTTCATTTTCCTCTGTCTTCCTCCCCTTCATCCTACCCCTCAGCTCTCTCCCCCCATTTCTCATGACAGCCTGGCATCTAGCTAAGCAGGGTCGGTGCAATGGGATGGCAGGTCTGACATTCTGCCCCTCCTGGAACGTGGCTAAACCTGGGCAGAAAGAAACGAGGATTAGATAGTGGAGGTTTCCCCTATGCATACAAGAATCCAGGATTTCTTTAACTTCAAAGTGTGCTCCCTCAATCAAAATGGAGGGGATTTGCAGTTGGGCAGAGAGGAGAGTTGACTGCAGGTTTTAGTAAACTACAGTGGAAAACTGGGTGGAGCCACCTGAGATTTTTAATTCCACAGTCACTGGATTGATGAGGTGAGTAATGAAGAAAGGGCCAACATATTTAGGGCCCAATTTTTTGGAAGGCTGCTGAGATTGTAAGAACTTGGTGTACAGGTATAACTTATCCCCCACTTTGAATGCCTTTTGTGGGGATCTCTTTTTGTCTGCATACTTCTTGTATTCCTCCCTGGCATGTGCCAATGCTTTATGCACCACAGGCCAGGTGTTTCTTGCAAACATTTCATTACCCAAACTAGGTAACATCATCAGTGCTAGTAGGAAGTGGAGTTTGCTCTCAATTTATATTCTAAGTGGCTTGCCCTGTCAGTGTTGGTGGGAGTGGTCTTGGTTCTTTGGTTGGGTTTTTACTGTTAGCTTGTTTGGCAGTTTCTTGATTGGTGTATTATGTACTTCTTGATTATTCGTTTGATGTTGATCTTGGTGTTAATTTATGCTCATCTGATTGTTGATTGCTGGTAGTGTTTTGATCTTTTTGTTTCTTTTTTGGCTGCTGATTGTCTCTTTCACACATATAGATGTTGTTTATGTCTGTGTGTCTATTGGTGACTGATTTGTCAGAGTACTGGCTTCCAGGAATTTTTTAGCATTTTTAGACTTGATCTAAGATGGTCATGATTTCCCACTTTAAACTATGGTTAAGTCTGACAATTACTGGTAAGTCTTTAATTGTGAAATTAAAGAACTTTCATCATGTCTTCTGTTTGCTATATGATTTCATGGATGTGTTCTGCTAGCCTTCTGGCTAGCAGAACACATCCATGAAATTTGTCCTGTGTAGTGGCTGTTGCAGTTTTTATACTGTATGTCATAGATGACTCCTGTTTTTTCTTCTGGGCTGCTGAGTCAACAGACTATTATAACCACATGCCATCAGCATAGCATACAAACCAACTAAAGTCCTCCCAAACATCCTGAGTAAACCAAAAGACCCAACAGCCCCAGTAGAAAACACAGGAGTCATTATCTTTAAAATCATATATAGAAACAACACTGGGATACATCATGAAGTGCCTTTCCAGAATTGACCACCTATCTGGTCTGGTCATCTCGGGAGAACCTGCTGAAAGTCTCCCCTTCTCAAGAGGTATAGGGATGTGAATAAGACAGTAGACATTTCTCCACTTTGTAGAGCACTCTCCTTCCAGAAGTATGTAAGGCTCCCACCTTATTTACTTTCTGCCAACAAATTAAATCTGGATAATTCCAGTACACCTTATCGTCGGCTGATTGGCAGACAGCACTTTCTTTGCGTTTTGAGTTTAATTTTATTATTTTCATTGGCATTTTGTTGTAAGCTTCCAAGAGTTTTTCAGGATTGGGGACAGTTATAATCAAATAAAGTCAAATGTAGAGTAGAGCAGAGCAGAGCAGAGGTCCCCAACCCCTGGTTCACGGCTGCCTACTTGTCCATGGCCCGTTGGTAACTGGGCCACGCAAGACGTTGAGCGTGCAGAGCTCCATTTGCGTATGTGTGGGATTAGGTTACATGTGTGAAACCATCCACCGCTGCCCACTGCTACTGTGACTGGTCCACAGAGCCAGAAAGGTTGGGGACCACTGGAGTAGAAAATAGCTTCCTCCCTTAATCACTTTTTCAGTTTAACATAGTTATTCCACTCTTTCAGATACCCGTTATTGCCCTTGTGGGGAATGATGCCTGCTGGACTCAAATTTCCAGGGAGCAAATGCCCTTGTTGGGTAGCAATGTAGCTTGCGCTCTGGATTACTTAGGTGAGTTAATAGCCTGCATAATCTCATGTGCCTTATACTACTTAGAAATACAGGTAGTGTGAAGGCAAAAGAGCCTGGGCTCTCAGGAAGGACCAGCAAAAGAACATTTAGTTCAGCCTCTTGGCTTGAAACAAATCCTGCTTCTGTCACAAATTTCTGATCTGATTTCAAATGGAACTGATCCCTGCTAAGTACATCTATTGGATCAAAACTAGAATGAATACCAGGATATCAGATTCCCAGGCTGGCTTCATATATACCGTGTGTTTCAGGGTTGAAATCCAGCAGGTTCTGACAGGTTCTGGAGAACCAGTAACAGAAATTTTGAGCAGTTTGGAGAACCGGTAACAGAAATTTTGAGTAGTTCCGAGAACTGGCATTTACCACCTCTGGCTGGCCCCAGAGTGGGGTGGGAATGGAGCTTTTGCAATATCCTTCCCCCTGGAGTGGGGTGGGAATCAGTGGTAGGTTGCTCCCGGTTCGCACCGGTTCTATAGAACCGGCAGTAAAACCGGTGGGAGGCTTTGCCCACCAACCCTGATGTTATCAAAATTGTTCCGCACACGGCCCCACTGCGAACCGGTAGTAAAGGTAAGTAGAACCCACCCCTGGTGGGAATGGAGATTTTGTAGTATCCTTCCCCTGCCACGCCCACCAAGCCACACCCACCAAGCCACACCACGCCCACCAAGCCACATCCACAGAACCGGTAGTAAAAAAATTTGGATTTCACCACTGATGTATTTTGTCCAAGTTGATAAAAGTTTCTAAGCACCTACAGAGATAAGCTTCTGCTTTCCATCCTATAATCTAGAAAGTATGTACATCCTTGTTTAGAGTATTTACAGATAAATAATTTGTATTATTTATAATTTATAAATAATACTTATAAAGCTTGTTTATTCAATAAAAACAATCTGATGCAGTTAATCCTTGCTTAGCAACCAAAATTGGGACGAGGAGTTCTGTTGCTAAATGTTGCAGTCACTAAGTAGAAGCTCACATGACCATAATGGGCTTATGATGTCACTTTCCATTAGGTTGTTAAGCAAGAATATTATGTGATCATAACTTACAATTTTACTTCCGTGGTCTGTTAGCTCTGCTTGTTGCAAGCTGGTTGGGATGCAAGTGAATGGCAATCCTGTGACTGTGGGATGCTGCAACAGTTGTAAATGTGTACCAGTTGCAAAGTGTTCTGTCCCCGTCTCACACACGCACACAAACAGTCAGCCAGGGGTTAAATAAAACTTGCAGACAATAAACTCCTTCGATAACAGGATTGGCAGCAACCCAGTAGCTGCTTGCCAAGAACTTTACTCACAGAGGGAGATATTCCTCCTCCGTCAGATAAACCAAAACAAATACACAAAGTCAAAGAATTGTCAAGTCCAGTCCATATTAAATCCAAGGCAGGCAGATGACGTAGTTTCAGAGATACAACGTGACTCGCTAGTTATTTAGTTTCGTCCGTCACAGAGCCTGAATGGCCACCACACCCCCTTTTATCCCCTGTGGGGTGTGGTCCAATGACTCAGCTTAATCTCTGGCACACCTCCTTTTCTGCTGCGTGCGCTTGTCTCTCCGACGCTGGCGTGGATCCAGCCAAGACTTATCTCCGTCACTGTCCGACTGCGACTGTTCGGAGATACCTGGCTCCTGGCCAATCTCTTCTCCCTCGGGAGACACCTGAGGCATTGCCAGAGAGGAGGGTCCTGGAGAGGGAGGCCTGGCCAACTCCTCTCCTTCACCTTCGGAGTCTTCTCCCTCCGATAAGACGGGCTCGGGGGTCGGAGTCACAACACAAAGCACCTGAATTGTAATCACATAAACTCAAGCAACTGTAATGGATTGTAAATATGAGGATTGGTCTCAAAGCTATGTTCTATATCATCCGAACTTTGAATGGTCACTAAATGAGGCAGCCAATAAGTGAGGACTACCTGCATCCAGCTTCCTCTTCTTCCCATGTATCATGTGTTATTTTGTATTTTTAAAAAAATGCACACAATTCCTTTCTCCATCCTTTTCTTTATGCAGTGCTTAAAGCCTCTAAGTTAGATGTTATGACATTATTGTGGATAGATACTTAAAGCTGATCTGCAGTAGCAAAGCTTGTCGAGGAGGGGGCTGTTGCCAACTTAGTTCCCAATCTAAATTTTTAGAGAGAAGGTTCCCTGTTGGATTTGCATAAAACATGCTTTCTCCCATGTTAATGAGTGATGATTTTTTCTTTGCAGATTACCATGTGGTGGTAGAAGGTTTAGGAGGGAAAGGTTTGTTGCTTACACGCAAGAATGAGGACCAAATGGATGACATCATCCGGACAGCACAATCCAAATGCAGGAATGGACAGCCCATCCTTCTCAATGCATTGATTGGGAAAACAACCTTCCGTGAAGGCTCCATTGCTATGTAGGCTGTGGCTATGGCTGCAGTACCTGAGAGTTACATAAAGAGTAGAACCTCTGCTTCGCATGAAGGCTCTGGCTCTGTTGAATTGTCATTAAGCTAGGGGTTGGGTCACCCTGAGAGCCAGAATCGCTAGCTATTGTTAACACTTAGTAAGCTTTTGAGGCCTGTTTTGTCTTTCTGTTGTCTCACTTTGCTTCTTTTTGTTAACATGGTATGTTTAGCTTGGTAAACCCTCATTGACTGATTCTGACTTGCCAATCAGAAAAAGTGTCTATGTCTAATGGAAAAAGCCTGGGTGGGTAAGGAGGGAACTTAATTCTTTTCTTTTACATCTATTTCTCAGAATATGAAAAAATAGAGAGTATATTAATAACAATAGAATGATAGTGCAAATATCAGTGAATACTCAAAATACCTTGTGATAAAAATAATACAAATGTGTGACCATATATTCAAACTATATTAGAACTAAAGTTGTCATTTAAAATATGTCAAAATACTTTTTGAAGTTTAGTTGGGAAAAATTAAATGTAATTGTCAAAGCAACTTAAATGAACAAAATCAATTAATCAGTTTTATTTTCTCCTTTAGATGATTTATTAAACCTGGAAGAGTAAATGTAATGATCTTTGAATGTTTTTTTAAAATAATAATTATAGTTTGACCAAATTTGAGAGTGATTTTGTTAAGATATTTCTAGTTATATGTGTTTTGCATATTTTGAAGTTTTGTAGCTCTTAATTTCCAAAGTATTTTGACAAATTGTTCAATTGATATAATTTAATATATAATGTGATACATATTTGTAGTTTACCCAGATTCTATTAATTATTTATATGTTTTTATAGTGTGCTTTAAGGAATTTATTCAATACAAATTGGACATCAAATAAAATCCACTTAATCTTTACTTATTTTTCTATAGAAGTATACTATTTCAATTTCAGCTTGCTCTGAAATGGACACTGAAATAAATCTACACAGAACTATATCTTCCAAATTTAGTGGAACTTAATCCCAAGTGGTTCTTGATTGAGTAGCAGTAAATGTTTGTCAACTTTTTGAATATAATTAAGATTAAAATTAACGTTTATAAAATTAACATTTTTACTTTTGTATGTCTATGTTTCTATTGCTATCATTTAGAGGCTCCTAGAGTCATTCCAGGTTAGAATTCTGACTTCTAATTTTAGTCTGCCATAAACTGGATGACCTCTTGATGGAAATATGCATGTGAAAATGTTTCAGAGGAATACTATTCACTGCAGTTTTTGTTATTTCTGAACATTATTTTATTTCTTACCAAGATACAAATATTGCTGTTATGAAGGTGAGTAAATTGATTATCCTGTGGCAAAATATTAGGAAAAAATAATGGTTAGAGTACCTGGAGTGTACAAGTTCCATCCCAATACATGTTTTATTATAATGATTTCTTAGATGTTGGTGATTAGAGCTCCACGGACAATCACCTAGCAGAGACTCACATGCATGTTCAGGGCATACTGTGAGGACAGTGCAGTTTAAACTTATGTTATTTCTTTACCAGCTGAGAAAAAAACTGCTTAGCAAAGCAGCTTTCTGGATGAGTTTCATGTCTTTTGCCCCACTTTTTTTTGAGGGGCGTCTGCCTTGGTTTCAAGTATAACTCTTTGAAGTTATATCAGTGAAATGGGCTCAGGATACCAATTCTCATCACTCAGTATTTTTTGGTCAGAATTGCTGGCTATGGTCAAGAGCCTGTTGGTCAAGAGCCTGTTGTTCCGCCAGGCCGGGCTATCAACATAATTTTAAATTGGGTGTTTTAAATTTCTGGGGTTTTAAATTGAGCCGAATTATTTAATAATTTTAAATTATTTTAATTGATGTTTGTTTTGTGCTTTTAATAGGCTGTACACCGCCCTGAGTCCTTCGGGAGAAGGGCGGTATAGAAATAAAATTATTCTTATTCTTATGGGAATCTTTATGTTGCATCTAGCAATCATCATGAAAATTGTTCTTCCAATGCAGTGATTCTTCCCATTGTCCAGGCAATAGGAAGAGATTAGTGAACCATATGAGATGGCCAAAGACCATAGGCTGTTCACATGTCTTAGGGGTGAATATTTTAGCAAATATGGAGTTGAATTCATAAAGTGAAGGATTTTTGTATTTCCCTTCCCTTGACTGGGATAACTGCTGGTTTAGCTAGCCTTATGGCTATCTCACTAAGTCAACCCACATATTGCCTAAGTTCACGCCTTATGCTAAACCAAAATGTGCTTGGGCTTAATGTGTTACATAAATAGGCATTTTTTTGTAAGAGAATCCTTGGAACTTTTTGTGTTTTTTAGATGGTGGGATACCTTCTTGCTGCTAATAAAACATTTTGCAATTTTCCTGTTATTTCAGTCATAGTTGTTCTTTTTAATGTGCCCATGGGAATAACAAGTTCTGAAGCTAGAGTTAGGTATAATTACGGTTATTGGCTCATCTCATTTTATGCTATTAATCCTGTTTAGAACATGCCTGAACATTCAATCAGTAGTTTCCAACATAAGATAAATCTCATCTTCTTAGGCAAGAGGATGGATATTGATCTTATCTCTAAAGAACCTTTAGGGATAGACTGATGGCAACATGTCACTCATAGAAGAAAACAACAACCAAGAGCAACATCCCTGTTATCTAGTGCAACCCAGTCCAGTGCAGCCCTACTGGAGCTGAGCAATCAATTTCATATCCTCCCCCTGGAAGAAAGCATGGAGACACCTGGAAAAGACATCATCAAGTGTTTCTCTGACAAGACGAAAAATAACCCAGACTTTCCCAAGAAAAAAAAAGGCAAGTGTTGGTGATAGGAGACTCACTTCTCGGGGAATGGAGTCAGCAATCTGTAGACCAGACAATCAACCTAGGGAGATATGTTGTCTCCCTGCAGCAAAAATAAAAGATGTGACTGAGAGCCTTACTAAAAGAATCAAGTCCACAGAGCACTACCACTTTCTTCACATAGGGATGAATGACATGACAATGAGCCAGAAAACAATATTCAGAAATTAGGAGCAGCTAGGCAAGAAAGTTAAGGAATTAGGAGCACAAATGGTGTTTTCATCTGTACTTCCAACAGAAGATCAACATCCAATGAGGAACAGAATTTTAGGAATGAACCACTGTCTTAAGAGTTGGTGCTGCCAATATAATTTCAGAATCGTAGACCATGGTCTGCATTACCTATATGAAGGTTAAGAAATGAGCTGTATCTCACAAGAACTGGGAAGAAAAAAATGACTGGCACAACTTATCCAAATGGCTTTAAACTAAGACTGAGGGGGAAGGGTAACCAATCTTTAGGATCTAATCCCAAGCATAAACCCCAAGATAACCAATCAAATGAAGAGATAGGAAGTGATGGGAAGAAAACTCAGACATAAAGCAGGAGATGTAGGAAGAATATCCAAGGTCAGCCATTAAAAGACTCAGATGCCTTTACAATAACGCTCAAAGTTTAAGGAACAAATGGTGAACTTGAAATACTAGTACATGAGAGCAGGTACGATATAACTGCCATGACTGTAATATGCTGCTGGAAGGATATAAACTGTTGAAACAGACCTAACAAGGGTAGAATTGCACTGTATGTAAGAATCACTACATATCTATAAGGTAAAGGTAAAGGTTCCCCTCGCAAATATGTGCTAATCATTCCTGACTCCAGGGGCGGTGCTCATCTCCGTTTCAAAGCTGAAGAGCCAGCACTGTCCGAAGACGTCTCCGTGGTCATGTGGCCGGCATGACTAAACACCAAAGGCGCATGGAACACTGTTACCTTCCCACTAAAGATGGTCCCTATTTTTCTACTTGCATTTTTTATATGCTTTCGAACTGCTAGGTTGGGAGAAACTGGGACAAGTAATGGGAGCTCATCCCGTTACGTGGCACTAGGGATTCGAACTCCTGAACTGCTGACCTTTTGATTGACAAGTTCAGCGTTTTAGCCACTGAGCCACCGCGTCCCTTTTTATCTATATATCTATAGAAACACATAAAACTAACAATGAAAGCTTTGTAAGTGCATATGGATTAATATAAAGGGAAAAAAGAATGACATTGCCATAGGTGTATACTATAGGCTATCCAATCAAGCAGAAGAAATAGATGAACATTTTGCCAATCAGTTTGTGCAGGAAACATACCACAGTACAGGTAGTCCTTGACTTCATTTAGGGACTGTTCAAAGTTTCAATGGCACTGAAAAAAGTGGCTTATGACCATTTTTCATACTTATGACCATTGCAGCACTTCTATAGTCATATAATCAAAATTTGGACACTTGCCAACTGGATCATATTTATGACCGTCACAGTGTCCTGGGGTTACATGATCACCTTTTGCAACCTTCTGACAAAAGCCAATGGGGAAGCCAGAATCACTTAATAACCGGTTTACTAACTTAGTAACTGCAGCTATTCATTTAACAACAATGGCAAGAAAGATCAAAGAATGGGGCAAAGTTCACTGAATAACTGTCTCACTTAGCAATAGAAATGTTGGGCTCAATTGTCATACATTGAGAATTATCTATCAAGTATCCTGATGTCAGTTGGGAGACACTTCATTAAGTGGGAAATCAAACAGGCAAGCCTAACTGACAATTTTGGCATCCAAAAGGTAGAGAATTAGAGGGTCAGGTATACTGGACTTAATTCTTACTAACAGAGAAGAAATGATAGAGGGTTGAAGTTGCAATACAACAAAATCAAACTAATGTCTTAGATTTTAAAAGAGCCGATTTCAACAAACTTAGAGCTTGGGAAGGATTCCATGCAGGGGTGGGTTCTACTTACCTTTACTACCGGTTCGCAAGGGGGTGAACCTTGCCCGGTGGCCCCACAGCCCGCAAACACTTTCACTGGGACACTTTCCCTTTCACTGGGACACTTTCCCTTTCACTGGGACGACTCCTGCTCCTGCCCGATTGCCGCTCCCACATGGGAAAGCCATGGGGAGGGAAGGAAGGAAGGAAGGAGATTGGAATGAGAGGGAGGGAAGTTCTGAGGGAAGTCCTGCCCTACCACTTGGCCGCCAGCAGCCCTGATGGCCTCTCGGCATTCACTTGCCCCCAACTCCTGGCCTCTCCTGGTGGTCTCCCATCCTATTGCTGAGGATGCTTTGCTTACAAAGCCAGGTCTCACATGGAGAAGGAGTGGACCTCCTGATCCACACACTTTGCCCTCCCGCACCCACCAGGAGCAACCTGGCCAAGGAGAGCAAGCACAGGAGCAACAGCCTTGATGAGATACGTGTGGCCGGGCATCCTTTCGGAGAAGCAGGGCTGGGCTGGGCTGGGTTGTGGGGTCCCAGTGCTCCAGGAGCTCAAGGGCCAGGCTGGGTGCTTGTCCTCTGCTCCCAGAGCTCCAGGAAGTTTGTACCACCGTCGGGTGCTTTGTGTGATGTGAGAGACAGTGAGGCTCCTCTGGTAGACGTGGTTTTGCCGCTCAACCTGGTCTTGCCTTCCTCTGCTGGAGACCTCCAGATCCCCCTTCTCAGCCTTGCCTGGCTGAGGCAAGGCTGAGAAGGAGGCGAAGGATGACGCTGTTGAGTGAGGAAATGAGTGTGCTGCATCCTCCAAGTCCAACTTCTAGCTTGGCAAATCTATGGAGAGGAGGAGGAGGTGCCGGGGGGACTGCGTGAGGGAAGTCTGCCCCAACAAACCAAGAATCCTTACCACACACAATTGGAAATGAGAATTCCCTTTTGAGAAGGGATAGCCTCCCTTGTGCAGGACTGGGGAGTGCTGCTCCCTTGCCGCCTCCTCTTGCTCTCGAGAGATCTGTCAAGGCAGAAGTTGGATTTGGAGGAAACTCCTTCCTGCAAACTTTCTCCTCCATGCTTCCACACACAGCAGTGGCATCCTCTGCCTCCTACTTTGCTGGAAGGAGGCACTGGTCAGGGAAACGCCAACTATGTCTGAGATTGGAAGAAGAATATACATACACAAGCACACATACATACACCATTCCAAGCTTGGAGACTTTTATCCACATCTGGGCTTGCAAACTGCCAATCAAGCCTGGGCTTGGGGAAAAGGCCCTCTCCTTTCTCTGTAAATAAAAGACTTCA